TCCATTTCCACTGACGTGCTATGCAACCAATATAAAGATGGAACATCCATGTGGAATTGGAAAAATTCATGATCCTTGTCCTTGATGATCTTGCCAGGCCATGCCAGTGCAGCCAAGCGATATGTCCGAACGATGTACAACGGGTTGTCAGAAACAACGACGACATGTCCTTCGGGTAGGAGTCCAGAGCACCAGCCGTCCTCACAGAGTGCCCATCGCTTAGCCCTCCATGCTTTCATCAGTAAACTGAAAGCAGCCAGAACCTCTTGTTCCTCGACATGGTTATGGGAGACCCAGTCCCTGCGCTTTGTCACATCTCCAAGAAGCTGTGCCTCCGCCACCTCGGAGGCACTGACCTGCGAGCTGACCGACGAGGTGGAACGACGGGCTCGTTGTAAGACTTTCTTCTCGGCAGTCTTCGTGAAGAGGCTGTTCGGGTCGAAAGAGGTGGGAGTGTGGCAGAGTTCTCTGGTTTGTGCCTCGACCCTCTCGTACATCGCGATGACTTTTGCTTGGGTCACAGCCTTCCAACCGTCCAAGCGACCCAAGTCCTTGGAGGAACGATGTCGCTGCTCGGCCTCCCTCTGCACTTTATTGCAATCCTCGATGATCTTTGTGTTCAGAAGTCCAGACCAGATGTTCGTCAAAACATGCTGGAGGTCGTCACTGATGTGCTGAAATCTCTGGGCGGAAAGCTCTGCGAGGATGTACTGACAGACCTGGCCTTGGGAGAAATGACCTTCGAGTAATTTTTTAGCCATGCGGGAACCACCGGTGACTGTGTCCTTGATGCAAGAGTCGATCTCCTTAAAAAAACCCAAGCTAGACCGTCGGAACGCATCATTTCCATGGACTAGTCCTGCGGTAGCACCAAAACCACCTGTGTGGTATAGCTGTGCGCCAGCTCGCAGCCGCAGCACCTGATGTGTCAACCGAGTCATTTGCTCAGCGAGTGTGTCCTGCCACAAAAGCTCCGGTTCGTCTGCAGGCAGACTACGCGCGACTGTCAAGTCCAGTCCGAGACGAGACAAGGCTTCCAAGTCCGACCAGGTCCGCAGATGGTCTTTGGCAGTGCTTATCCAAGACCAATGTGCCCAGCCAGCGTAGTACTCCAGCGTCATGTTCTTGGAACGCAGCTGCTTCAGCATTAGGGAACAGCGAAGCTCTTCAGGTTGCAAGACTTGGAACATGAGTCGGGCCGTCGTCTTGTTGTCCTGCGAGATCATGAACTTCGTCATCATGTGTAGGCTATTGGCACTGCCCTGCCGCTCCGTGTCCATGCCCTCTTTTGCCTCCTTCCGTGCAGAAGTCTTGCTTCCACCATGTGGGTCGGAGGCACGGGCCATATTGTTGTCCGGCGAGAAGAGGTCCTTCGTGGAAACCGTCCATTTGTGTTCGAGACAGACCACCGTGAGAACTAACGCCAAAACCGACCACTCTTTGTCCAGTGCAGCGTGGGCCGTCGTCAAAGAATTGAAGCGACTCTTGCTGGCCTTGGTGCCTTTGATGCGGATGCAGTCCTTCTCGGGTAGTGTCTGCAGGAACGTCCTGCGTGCCTCCTCCGTGTTGTTGTCCAACGGGGAGAGGCCCATGTCCGACAAAATGTCCGGGAAGAAGAGGAGCAATATAGGGTCCGACGAGTCCATGTTCTCCTTCATGTGGTCTGCGGCTCGCTGAATCTTTTTCGCCCAGCTGCCCTTTTGCCAGGGCCCGTACCTCAGGTTGTACAGCGAGATGCACCACGTGGAGAACTTCAAGAGTCCGGCGCCCGACAAGGCCAAGGCCACGTCGTTGTGTGACCTGTGTGCAGGGTCGGAGACGTGCTCAATCCACAGCTTCTTCTTGTTCTTCAAAAAGGCCATCGCTGCCAGTTGTGTGGCCTCCTGGTCCGTACAAAGAACCATGATGGGTGCACGTCGTCTCTGCGGCTTGTCCGTCGTGATTTCGTCCTGCGGGGCTTGGTGCTGACACTTGCCAAATGTCCAGCCAACGGCCTGCAATGCATGGTTCATGTCCTGCATCCACGTTAAAGTGGCCTGTCGTTCCAGCTCCTCCGGTCTATCACCCTCCACGACAAAGTGCTCTTGGCCGAAAAATTTGTTGCCACTTTTGCTCCACATGGCTTGCCACTGCTCCCTCGTCAAAGTGCTGTCTTGCTGGACCTGCCGGCTCCATCGCTCAATAATGATGACTGCACGCAAATGCTTGCTAGTTCTTAACAACAGTCAACATGATACGATATGAGGCGTTATGTTTCTTGTCTAAGCGGGTGCTTTGTTTGCAAAGGGCGGTTGTCTACTTCAGCGGGGCTAGGCGTACCTTTTTTGGGGCCCAATTTTCGTGCCAAAAACCTTTTTCCGCGTGGAGGGGGCCACGGGGTCTACTTCAGCAAGGCTCGGCGTACCTACTCATGACCAAAAGGAAACCAAAGACTTCTGGTTGGAGGCCAGCCTCGAAAACCAGGTTTCAGCGGGGATACGCGTACTTCGGCTTCAAAAATTTCAATTAAAAACGTCGGCCGAAAACGGACCCTGAGCGGGGATACGCGTACTTTTGCTCGGAAAAAGGTTCCGGGTCGCGCCCAAAAGTACCGAAAAACGCCCCCAAACGGCGGACCTACGCCCAGGCTGTGCGTACCTCGGCCTCTGCTCTATCCAAGGCAAAAAAAACCCCGCCTGCGGCGGGCATACCCAAACTTTGTCCGTCGTGTGGTTGTAGAGCATGACGTTCAGCCAATCCTCACTGCCAACGTGCACTGCATCCGCGACCACACAAAGAATGTCCGTCGATTGGAACTGCGACTTGCCGTGTTGGACATAGGCATATCGCTCCATACGGGCTAGCCTATGTGCATCATTGGAGACCATCTTCTTGATCTTCTTCTCCTCGTCGTCCTGCGGGGTGTCCACGACGCTGAAAGCGTGTCCCTGCAATGTCGCTGTGAGTGTTCTGCGGGTGGCATTAGATGACACGGCCACGTCTTGTCGGAAAGACGACGACGACTTACGATATCCAGCGGCACTCCTGCACCAGCATGCAAAAAAAATGTTTGGTCAGCTTCACTCAACCCCCTAATGTCCCCATTCTTGCAAACCCGGAAATCTGATACCTAAATCTGCATCCCAAACTTGTCCTCAGCTGCATGATCTGCTTCAGATTCAAGGAAGACCAGCAAGAATGGGTGTTGTCCGACGAGTCCACCGCTTGTGCCAGAGCCTCCAGCATGTGGCATTTGAGCCTCAGGCTGCCTTCTTTGCGCTTCTCCCCAATTGTCCGCCTTGTGCAATCATAAGAAACATCCTCCAGCACCTGCAGAAAGCCCGATCGGTCCTTCGACAGTGTCTTCTCGAGGGACGTCCACTCCTTTGTCACTGTCTCAACGTCCAGCGAACCTCCCGCGAATGTAAGGGTTAGTCTTCTGTCGTCCCACCAGAAAGTGAAGCTTTGCTCCTCGGTCAAAAACAAGGAAGCCATGCTCTGCAACAACTGACCGGCGACATTGCTTACGTCCGTTAGCGGCTTGTTCCACTTGGCATCTTTCCGTGTGCCCTGCTGCCAATGATGCAAAAGTGCAAGCATTGCAAAGGTCGACGTGGCAAACTCCGTACAGCCTGGTCTGACAGTGTCGAGAGGTCCTGCCACATCAGCCTGATCTGTCATGCCACCCGTGCTCTGCTCCATGTCCATGTCGGATGCGTCCTGATCCTCGTTGCCCGCCGGGATGTCCTGCGAAGTTGCCTTGCGTTTCCTAGTCTGGGCTGCAAGATGCTCTTCCTGTTTCTTTTGGGAATAAGAACTCTGGAGGAAGTGCGACTGGACCTCCTCCTGCAGCTTCTCCTCCGTGTCTGTCCAACGGGGCCATATAGTCGAGAAGAGCTTGTTCCTGAACGTGGGTAGACTACCAGAAAGAAAATTTCGTGATGAGTGGCCGCCGAGGAAATGTACAATCCAGCGCAGGTGCCAAAAACGACGTCCTAAAGCAAGCTTTGTTTGTGCTTGCTTGTAATGGTACGTCTCTCCCTTCAGAGTCCCTGTGCTTCCGCAGGGAATGCAAAATGCAACTGTCAGACGCTGAGACTTAGCACTTGCAGAAGTCACAGAAGCCGTCGAAGGTCCTGCAGCTTCAGGTCCAGCGGTAGACGAGGAGGGAACGTCCATGGTGTACGTCGGGTGGCGGGTGATCTACCGGTGAGGCAACACAGAATCTGCTGTTCAGGTTCGGGGTCTCTGTCCAAAACTTTGTAGCTATCTTCCTGAATATACTCACACTACAAGGCTAGACTGGGCTGTTGTTGTTGCATAAAATATACTACTCTCGCCGGAAGTGTCCTAGAGACCCCAAGCTGCAGCGATCGTGAGAAGTCCCGAAGGGGTTTCTCATTGGAATGGGCGGCTCCCTGTGTGTTTGCCTGTGTTTGTCTGACATGGTCTCGTTCTATGTCATATGCTCTAGCACTACACGGGACTGCAATGACAATAATGCTGTCTCTGAGGGGGCAGAAGCAGAACAGGATCCTTTTTTCCTCAGGAGCGGAACAACAATGCCGGCTGCACGGCCCCAAGGCCTCGAACTCGTGCCTGTCTATGCACTCAAACAGACTCAAAATCGCTCTGTCGCTTTCGCTCTTTACGGCGAGGCGACGAACGACGAGTCAGTACTGCGAGTGACCTCTCCAAAGGACAGAACAACGAGCAGAGAACCACGACCCCAAAACCCAGTACCCCAATGGACCCAATAGTAGTACAGTATGAACTAGGAAATGAACAAGAAAACATCATCATCATGACACGTCCATACAAAGGACGACCGGGAAAACTCGAGTGCAAGTTAAAATTATGCACTCCGGACAGATGGAGCAGCGTTGCCTTGTCCTTCGGGGGCCGCCGTCGAGTCTCCGTCCGACAGTTGGTACTCCCACTTCTTCTTGAAGTCCGGCAAACCAGGAAAAAAGCTAGCACATTCGAAGTGGAACAACGAGTTAGTCCGTCCATCGGAAACTATACAGTCCACCGCGAATTTATTGCTGAGCTGCCATTCCCGTTTTTCGGGAAGAACAGGGAGCTCGCAAGTCAGCTTGGACTTGCCCACGACGAAGTCCTGCGCTAGTCCGCCCCGCGAAGTCCTGCCAAAGCAATGGCAGGTGAGGACGTTGGACGGCGAGTCGAGAGACCAGATCTCGTACCTCGAGGTGTCACACGTCAGAGAGTCCGTCGAGTTGAGTGCTGCCACGTAGTTCCGCTTAACCTCGTCCAACCGGGCCTTCGCTAACTTGGCCAACGTGGACTGAAAGCGAATGTCCGACCGGTTGGGCAGAGGTGTTCCTGCTGCAACCCAGAACTGCGACTCAAACAGAACGCGAACTACGTCTTCGTCCTCCGAAATGTCCTGCGTGAGCTCAACACCACAATTCTGCAGCATGAGCACGCACATCTCGACCGGCAACTGACCCCACTTGTGGGCCTTGCCCTTCCATCGTAGTCCACCGGTTTCGTCCTTCCGAGCAACGTCCTTCAGAAGCCCATTGAGGGAGCCCGAGCGAATCAGTCCGGCGAGGGGGCTGATCCAGGTAGGATTGTTGTTCAGCGTGTCATTGATGAACCTCAGATCCACGTCCAATATAGTACTTTTCGAGTTTTGTACTGCGGATGCGAACGACGCCTCGTTGCGCAAACGGGTCTTCTCGTCCTTCGCCTTCTGCTTGGCCAGCTGCTTCAAGGTGGGCTTGCGTGGGCCGCTGTTGCGAGGCATGCTGCAAAGTCCGTCGAGAAAGAACGACGGGTGAAGGGGAAGAGAGTACTACACTGCGTGTGGAACCAAAGGTGCTCAACAACACGCAAGTACCGAAGAAGGAAGCTGACCGTGTGGACTGGAAACATGCATGAATCTGTGAACTGCACCCTATGGCTCCGTGCCTCAGAAGATGGCAATGTCCATGGAGAGACTCGTCTCCAAAGAAGTACAACCTCGGGCATGGAGATATAGAAGGGCAGGGGTACTAGGATTAGCAGTGTAGGATTCCTACTTCGTTGCTACGATTAGTAGTAGTACTAGCACGAGCAATAAATAGTACTAGTACTAGGACTGCTACTACTACTACTAATACTAAACTAGTACTACTACTACTAACAACAAC